CCATTTCGTCGGTGAAAGTGAAGTATAAGGCCATGAAAGATGAAAAGCTGACTGCTGACTTTTCTTCCATATAAGATAAAATCCCAAACAAACACGGTGTTAAGATGTGGTGAATTACCATTAGGGTACATTGAGTAGAACAAAAAAAAAAATGATTTGTCCTTTAGTGGAAAAATTATTTATGAGACAAACATGATAAAAAGAGATTTGTGTGGCAGAGGCGTGATCGAAAGTACAATAAGCAAACAACAAACAGACGTGTATGAGCACGTAATTGCCCCTGAAATTGAGATTTGGGTCAAAAAATTGAAGGGTATCTTGGTCATTTAGCTTGGACATCCCGGCAACCAAATCGTACCAACGAGATCGTCTACCGACGGGAAAAATAAGTCAAACATGTTCATCTGAGTCGCGAGTTCACTCACAAAGTCCAACTCATTCTGTTCTATGTTAATCTTTTCAACGCTACTCATAATCTTTAAGAGAGATTTCATTACAATTCAATATTTCAAGTCAAAAATATATCCATTTTAAAGAGTAATTAATCAAAATGGAAATAATTAATTTGACCGTATCACAACTTTCCTTTTATGTTTCGGGAAAATGATTTTTTTCCTCTTTAAAAGAATATTTAGTTTCTTATCATCATTTGAGTAAATTTTAGTATTAACTTCTAAGGAAAGACGAAGAATCCTAAGAAAAAGAGAATGTAATAGTAATTTCCCAAGGAAGAGAAAAAGAGCCAAAATGAAGAGACAAACCTGTTTTTTGTGGCGATTCGGAGAAGCTGACGGAGAGCAAAAATCCGGCGTCCGGTGACCGGAGATTGAAGGGCTTGTCTGAAGAGAAAATCTGAAAGGGCTTATGCAAAAGCGGTTTTCACAAGAAATAATAATTTCCGAATCCTCGGACCTACTACAGCTGCTAGTAGATGTCTCCAAATCCATAGATTTCTCTTCATTATATTCTGACCAACCAGCACTGCTAAGCCTGCTGTTATTACAGGAACAAGAAATTCTAATCTCCGCTTCCATTTTTTCTGGTTTTTCAAGTTTTGCCTCCCCAATGGCACGCTTTTTGCTCTTGTTCCGATCTATCAGTCTCTTCAGAATGGATCCAAACAGCCCGAAACCGACATTTTTAATCTGGGTTTTAGGCTTCGGTTTCTGTTTTTCAATCCTCATCGCGGCTTCAGAGAGGAGAGCAGCAGTTCCGGCAGGGATGTGGAGGAACACGGCACCCTTTGGGGATTTACATGGTGAATAAAAATCGTGAAAGGGTGATTTTCTAATGTCCGGCGAGTTCTGAAACGAGAAAAAACAAGCATGTTTGCACAGATTTGTACGTTTCGTGGGGGTTTGTAAAATTTTGGGGTTGCGTTTCTTGATTTGTAATTGAGTGCGCCTCTGTTCAATGTAACTCTTCAACTGAAATGGCTCTTGATCTTCTTTCAGAAGCTCAGACAACAACTGCCTATCACCCATCGCAAAAACAGTACAATGAAACTACTGTGAAATGAGTTGATTGCAGGGTTTCGTTTTGAAAGAAGCGAGGGTGGGGTTGTTGAAAAGGTTGGAGAAAGAAAGTGGATATAAATGGAGAAAGAGAGAGGAGATTTCTTGATTCAAATCCGGGTTTTACAGTATCGAGGAAGGCGAAGGTGCGGTGAAAATGGAATTATTCTAATAGAAGATTTAAATTAATTATTCCGGGTATTATTGACCACTGATTATTTAACTGGTGTGGACTACAGTAGAGTACAAGGAAAACAGCAGGATAATTTTTACTCATGGGGGTGGACGGGGGAGAAAAGTTTAGGGCATGTTTGATCGGGCCAAATTCTATGAAAAATAGAATTCATTTTCACCCCTTTTGTGGTATTTGATAGCAAAATTCTACATGAAATTTGGTTTTTTTGCTTTTCTTGAAAATTGGAATTTTCTTGGTTTTTTAGGGTACTCTTTTTTTTTTTTTTTTTTTTAATAAAAAAAAATTTTTT